ATGGGGGGTCCTGGGGCTCTGGTGGGGGTCCCATATCCTGCCCCCCCCAGCGCGGCGTGGTGTGGGAGGAGACGCTGATCCTGCTGCCTGAGCACGTGGGGCTGGTGCTGCTCAGTGCCACCATCCCCAATGCCCTTGAGTTCGCCCAGTGGGTCGGGTAAGGGGCTGGGGGGGGGTTGCTGGGGGGCTGGGGGGGGTCTGTGAGGGGCTCTGGGGTGGTCGTGGGGCTGGGCGGGGTCTGTGGATAATTGTGAGGGCTGGGGGTGGCTGTGGGGCTGGGGGGTGGTTGTCTGTGTGGGTCACAGGGGATTCTGGGGCCGGGGGGCTGCAGGGGGCTTATAGGCGGTGAGAGGGCGTGGGAGGAGGAGGGGGGCTGCAGGGTGTCGTGGGCTGTGGGAGTCATCCAGGGGGCTGTGGGGAGCCGGGGGAGCTGTGGGGCATTTCCCTCACATTTCCCCCCTCTTTGTCTCCCACAGCCGCACGAAGCGGCGCCGCCTGCGGGTGCTGAGCACTCGGCAGCGCCCGGTGCCCCTCGAGCATTTCCTCTACACCGGCGGCGGCGGAGCCCCCTCACCCCGCGATCTCTTCCTGCTGCTGGATGCGCGGGGTGCCTTCAGCACCCAGGGGTGAGAGCCTCACCGCGCCCCAAGCGCCCTGCGGCCGCACCGCCGTGCCCCTACGGCCAGCCGCTGTCGCCCTGTAGAGCCCGGCGGCCGCCCCGTAGCACCTCCTGGTGCCCCGCAGTCCCTCTGCAGCGCCCTGCAACCATCCCATGTTTACCCATGGTTCCAGTAGCGCTGCCCCACAGCGCCCCATGGCTCCCACAGGTACTACGCCGCAGTGGAGGCGCAGAAGCAGCGGGCGAGCAAACACGCGCAGAGCTTTGGAGCCAAACAGCCCCATGGGGGAGGCAGCGGCCCCGGGCAGGTGAGGGGAGCCCAAATGGGGTGGGGGGTCTCTTTCTGGGATCTTCCCACCCTGTTTTGCGCCCTCCTTTTGGGCTCCCTTGGATCTCTTTGGGCTCACGCTGCGCTCCCCACAGGACCGTGCCATGTGGCACTCGCTGGTGGCGCTGCTGCAGGCGCAGGGGCAGCTCCCGGCCGTGGCCTTCACCTTCTCCCGCGGGCGCTGCGATGCACACGCAGCCGCCCTGGGCCGCATTGACCTCAGCTCAGCCGCCGAGAAGGGACGCGTGCGGGGCTT